ATGTCTCTGAGTACAAGCCTCTAAGCCATAGATCCAGGAATCTGCTTTATGTTCTTTTTTCCTAAAATCTCTCCATATTTTTCAAAGCGAAGTTATGTTTGGCAATAAATAATCTAATCCGCTCTTTCTAGATGCTCATTTTCTTCTGGGTTCTCAAGAGAATAAGTGAATTTCATCTTATGAAATATGTTTAACAAATGATGCTAAGATTGACAACCCTGATCCAAAAGCCAGAAAGCTAAGCAACCAGTACAAATATACCAAAATAGGAAATCCCACCAGTGACCCCAAAATTCATATTGGATTAATAGTGACACCATTTTTCATATCAAATTGGCAAAAATAAATAATGGCAACAATATTCAATGGTTTTGAGCATTTGGTGAATCTGATACTTAACGTACCACATTAGAAATGTGGATTTAGGGGCCACCTGTGTGGCTCGTCAATTAAGGACCAACTCTTGGCTTTGGCTCAGGTCATGATCTCATGGGTTATGAGCTGGAGCCCTCATCGGGTCGGGCTTCAGGCTCAAGGAAGAGTCTGCTTGAAGATTCTCTCCCTAGGTCCTTCCTCCCATTCATACTCTCTTTTTCTCTCTCTCTCTCAAATGAGTAAATAACTCTTTAAAAAAAAAAAGAAGGAAATGTGGATTCAGAAACACATATCAAAAGCTTTTAAAATATATTGTGATTTGGATACATTATTATTTTTTTAAGAAATAGTAAACTAAACAGAAATAAAGGATATGGGCAAACCTTTAAACAAATCCTAGTGGATTCACTGGTTGTCATGGAGATCAATGGAAACATTTGCAAAGTCTGTCAGGCCTTTCAAAGCCACTTCACCTCAAGTAGTGAGTGTTCTAATTATTTTGAATGTTACATGCCAGTATTTTTTCAATGGGGAATTTATGTGTAGATATAATCTGTAAGTCATTTTACAATAAATGCAATATTTTATTTTGAAGAGTTTTATTTCTAAAATTCCACCACATTGTATATATTTCTGTCTTTTTGCTGATAGCCTGAACTGTGAAAACTTCAAAGGTGACTAGTCCTTCTTGCTTTGTGAGCCCCCTTGCCTGTACTTTGAAATGTGATCTCAACACTTATGGATATAAATACTTATTTCTCCCTCCCCTCTTATACTAGATTCTGGAGAAGGAATTCCCTTTCGGTGAGTTATGACCCTGCACTTTGCTGGAAGTAATAAGAAGAATGAGAGTAAGTATCTGGGATAGGAGTATTTGAAAAATACAAGTAAAACTTTATGACAAGGTTGGAGGGTATTTTCACCGGCTTCTGGACAACTCTTGACGTAACGCTGTGGGGTAAAATAATCTCAGCAAGACACAAGTGAGTGTGCCAGGAAGCAGTGACGATATATAGAAAACTTACCTAAAAGGAAACAATCACATTTGAGAAAGTCATATTTGGGAGAATGTCTATAATTCTCCCGAAACTCATTCTGATAACTTCACGTCTTTTAGCAATTGCTGCTCTGGAAATGGTAGTGCCTACTCTTTTGGGAGTCATCACTGTATTACTTCTTCTTCTTCTTCTTCTTCTTCTTCTTCTTCTTCTTCTTCTTCTCTTCTTCTTCTTCTTCTTCTTCTTCTTCCTCTTTTAATTTATTGTCCTCTGTTCCAGAAGAATGATCTGTAGAAGTGGCCTCTGCTTAATCAGTAGTTGTCAAATGGCTTCTAGACTACTGTTAAGAGCACGGAGGTGAGTCCACCAGCTGCCAACCGGCCAACTGTGGGCCTAGCCACTGTGAAACCTCTTGATGTCCTTCTATGAATTGTCATGTGTCTCTGCAGAAACTGACTTTGTTTCTGCTACTTTCTGTGTCTCTAGTTCAAGCCTTCTGCCCCGTTGGGTAAGGTCCTCGAGAGGACGTGACTGCCAGTTGACCAGAAGCTGGACCCAGGGCACTGAGGCTCCCATCCCCTCCACCGTCCTTGGAAAGTGCATTGCATTTGCCTTCCCCACTCCCAGAAACTGTGTAAATAAGTGGGCAGTTTCAAGTGCCTAAATAAGGCCTTGAGATAGAAATGTGGTTTTGAGGCCGTCCAAACTGGGTGTGTAACTGAACTCTAGGCCTCTAGATAAATTTTTAAGATTTGGTGGGATGCCTGCACATCTTGCAGTGGCCAAGATAAGCCTAATACAAAAGTTCCCCTTGTTTTTTAGACCCCCTACTTGCCGATCTGTAGTGGCCTGCTTCTTTCTTTGGTTTCTCCCTGCCCTTTGCTTAGGGGGGCTCAGTTTGAGATTTCACCAGGAAAGCTCCCAGGAAGGGTGGTAACTGACAACTGGTGAGCCAGCCAGGAGACCGAAGAAGGGGGCCTTGGGAAAGAGGCATCAGTGAGGGATCTCTATGTGAGAGGGGTGGGCCTTATATGCTAATCACTTGTGGACCACCATGTGAATATGGGGACACCCTGAAAACGCCGCCTGACTTAATGCTCTTTAGGAACTGTGCATGGCTACATGATGGGCAGCCTCTACTGTGGGCTGGACACCGATGCCTGACTGAAGAGCAAAACTTAAGTTAGAAAGTAGGAAAAAGAGGTGAATTAAAGAAGGGCATGTGAGTGTCTGCCACCCAGCTGGCTTCAGGGTTGGCAGCTAAGGTGGGAGGATAAGATAATCCGCTGGGGATCTTAGTAGGCCATTTTGCAAAGCTAGGAGGGCTCACGCTGAAGGTCAAGGTCTGAGAATTTTGGAACAAAGCCTGACTGGGTGCTAGGAGGGGAAATCCCTGGGGAAATAATGAGAATGAAGAGCAGAATGGTGTGGAGATGGATGGAGAAATAAGCAAAATGGCCCCGACCACTGACACCCGACCCAAAGGAAAATTTTAAATGTCATTTATGCCAAAATGCCTAGGAGAAAACTTACAGTCTTCCTCTATCCTTTGGAGTTGTAAATCTTATCATGTCTTTGAAATGGAAACACTCCAGATAACCATGTATTGACCAAGAATGCTCAAGAAAAAAAGGCAGGGAATGAGGCTTTTTAGATAGATTGCTGTAGAAGTCTGTTGGCCAAAAATTCGAGTCCACAACCTCCATAAGACCACAGATATCAGTAAATATTTGTATTTACTGTGACTGGGCACCTGATTCAGGGCTGAAGTTTGGAATGAATGTTGTTTCTGCTTGTGTTTGTATGTTTGTGCATCTATGCATGTCTATTGTGTATATGTGATTTTTTTTCTATCTCCAAGTGTATTGGCAAAATTGATTGGTTAAAGAGCTTGGGTTTTTACAAAACTACTAGAAATGATAAGGGTAAAAGAAAATAACAGTATATGAAAGATATGTAAGAAAAATAGAAGGTAATTTTGGGTAAGGAAAGAGGAAGGACATACAGATTTTTTTGGTAAAGGAAAAAGTAAAGTAATTTTGTAAATTTTCTAAAGTAAAAGGATTGGTCCAGGATGGATAAAGAAGATGGGACAAAAACTGAATGGATACACAACGTTGCAGAAGATTGATGGAAAAGAAATATATATATATATATACATATATATATATATATATATTTAAGTTTTTATTTATTCATTTGACAGACAGAAACACAGCAAGAGAGGGAACACAAGCAGTGAGTGTGGGAGAGGGAGAAGCAGACTCTCTGCTGAGCAGGGAACCCGATGTGTGGCTTAATACCAGAATCCTGAGATCATAACCTGAGCTGAAGACAACTGCTCAACCACTGAGCCCCCCAGATGCCCCAGAATAGGAATATTGAGAAAGGAATTTTCTGTGTAGTCAGGCTAAGATTGGACATATTTATTTAAGTTAAAAAGAAAAAAAAAGTGGGGGGTTTAATATCAAAAGTATACCAGTGCAAAATGTGAATTTGGTTTCCTCTCTGATAAAAGGACAAAGTTTTCTAGATTAAACAAAATTTTAACAGGAAACTATAATCAAAATTTTTTCTTTACCTTTAATGTAATCTGTCTAGAAAACAAAGATTCTGTTTTGTCTTCATCTGGTCTTTGATTACTTAAGAAAATAGCTTCCTGGGTGGCTCAGTCGGTTAAGCAGCTGCCTTTGGCTCAGATCATTATCCCAGGGTCCTGGGATCGAGCCCTGCATCAGGCTCTGTGCTCAGCAGAGAGCCTGCTTCTCCCTCTCTCTCTGCCTCCTTGTTCTGTCTAGCTCCCTGTCAAATAAATAAATAAAAATCTTAAAAAAAAAAAAAAAGAAAACAGACTCTTTCTAATTAAAAGACTTTTTACAGTTTTTTACAACTATGTAATTTTTGTATACATTAACTTCCATGGGAAACAAGAAATGACGCTAAACCTTTTTTAGCTAAAAATTCTAAAGATCCTTATATGTCCTGGTATAATATTATCAATCATAATTTTAAAGTGTATGCCACAGAAATAACCAAATTCTCTTATCAATTACATTATAGTGAACTCTCACCAGATCTTTAACCAGGGTCATTTTTAAATCTTTTGTTCTTTGCAGACACTGTTTTACTCTGATGCTTTGGCAAACGTGTTCTTGCAAAAGTGCTGAGCCTTCACAGGGAGATTCATGGAATCGATTTGCCTTCATGTAGGAGGGACAATAATGAACTTTCAAGTGCTTCCCCAAGACTATCTGCACACCTTACCGTATACCATGGGATGGTAACCTGAGACCAGTCTCTGCTCTCCTTCCCTACAGGAGTAAAATGAGCCCAATTACATTGATGGTATAATGTTGACATGTGAAGACTTGCTTTTGCTGCAAGACACCGTGCACTTTTGCTTGTTGGCACATGTGCAAGAATATGAATGGGTGGTGAACCCACAGAAAATTCAAGGCCCAGGCATGACTATAAAGTTATGGTTGTCATTTGGTCATGGAAGATCCATGTCGTTCCAGATGCTGTATTTGACAAGATTCAAACCTCTCCAACCCCTAAGAATATAAGGGAGATGCAAGATTTTGTAGGGGTTTGGGGCTTTTAAATAACTCTTATTCCTTCCCTGGCATGGTGCCTTTGTCCCTTACGCCTCTCGGAGAAGAAAGGGACATGTGGGACTGGGGATCACAGCAGCAGGCTGCCTTCAAGAAAGCAAAACTACTAATGAAGCAGTCTGAAGATCTGGGTGTCTCCCAAACAGGGCTACCATTTAAATTAGAGGTTTCTGTAACTCGCAAAGTTTATGGATCAGGTACTGTGGCAGAGACAAAAGAAGGGGAGAGTGTCCCAAGGATTATGGTCCCAACTCTGGAAGGGGACAAAACCCCCACAGGACCCCAGAGCAAGAGCTTCTCGCAATGTACACAGTTCTCCTCTAGGTGGAGCCTCTTAGGAAGGAGCAACCACAACAGCCATCAGGTTGAACTCAGAGTGGTTTGGCTGGTGATCACTCATGAGCTCTAGTCATTAACTCTTCCCATTGATAGTTGGGCTGTTTTAAAGAGATTAACCCTATGGCTTGGATAATGAGAAGCCAAGGGATGGATGATTCATGAATGAGCCCTTGTGGGATCCAGATATGCAGAGGTACATTTACATTAAGCCTGAAGCCATCCTTACTTTCCTCCATGTCCCAGCTCTGAAGACATTGACACCCCCTCACAATCAGGAAGCTGATCTCTCGGTTAGGGCATAAGCCCTAACAACTGACCCTGTAGTAGATACAGCAGATTGGATACCCAAAAAGAGTGGCTACTGCAATACCTGAGTAGGATGGTGTATTGCCAAAGATGCTGGATGGCCTTGAAATACAATGAGTTGGTTAATGCAGTAACAGCATTTCATGTGTGTGTGTTTTTTTTTTTTTTAAGATTTTATTTATTCACTGAGACAGAGATACAGAGAGAGAGAGCATGAGCAGGGGAAAGGCAGAGGGAGAGAGAAGCAGACTGCCTGAGGCGGGAGCCCAATGCCGGACTTGATCCCAGGATCTGGAGATCATGACCAGAGCCAAAGGCAGACGCCCAACCACGTGAGCCTCCCAGGCGCCCCTTGTGTGTGTTCTAAACAAATGCCCAAGGCAATTGCCGAAAAAAATCTAAGGCCACCTACCAGAGTTTCCAACTAGGGAAGAACTGGCAGATTGGTTATATTGACCCCATCTCTCTGAGTGAGGGTTCTAAATATGCCCTAGTTTGTGTGGACACTGCATCTGGCCTAACCTAAGCGTCCCCTTGTTGCTCTTAGGGGGTTAGAAGAACTGAGTAGTGCGTCCAAATACCCTCATCAAGGAGATAGTGAGTGGGGGTCATATTTCAAAGGTCGCAATACACAAGAATGGCCAAAGAACAAAAGACAGAATGGAGGTTCTATTTCCCTTATAACTTGTAAGAAGCAAAGTTGGAAGAAAGAAATAATGGAATATTAAAACAGCAGATTAAGGGGCACCTGACTGGTTCAGTCAGTGGAGTGTGCAACTCTTCATCTCAGGGTTATAAATTTAAGCCCCACATTGGGTGTAGAGATTACTTAAACAAACACACATACACCAGATTAAATTACTAACAGGTAAAACCACTTCAGCAGGGTGAACTAAAGTACTATCCCAGGCTTTGATACATTTGAATGATCAGCCAGTAGGCCTGTTGTCCCATATGCTAGACAGGGGGGGACTCTTGCCAAAGCATCCAGGACCATAAAGATATGGAAATGGCAGCAAATATCCATTTCCTTGAATCTCTCAATGGATCAATGTGTTATCCCGCTGAAAACACCAAGCCCTATTACACCTGGGAAAGGAAACATCTACTAGAATTCACAATGGACATCCCACTGGCATGGGTGAGCTACTTTTGTGCCTCTGAAAGAAAAGGTACTACTGAAACTCCACTGAGATCCCATTGTCCCATTGCAAATGATAACTGTTGAAACATTATACCTAAAGTGGAACAAACACCATTAAAAGAGGGAAAAGGTGGGAATTCTGGTCTGGCATACCCACCCTCATCTCCTCATGCCTGACTGTGCTACCTCCCCTGACAACATGTATGATATATACAACCAAGTCAAGTTCCTAAAGATGTCAACCTCCTTCTCCTCAAAGCTATATATGGACATATTCTAATTCTCATAGGTAAAATCATTTTGCTGCCACCTCTGTTACCTCCAGGGGCCTGGCCCTTACCAAATTCATCTAGCAACCCTTGAATGATAGTCAAAAAAGCATGTCCTTATTGAACACTGAAATGTCTTTAAGAGAAAAGCTGTTCTCCAAAATAGAATGGTCTTGGATATTATCACTGCTTCCTTGCATCTCTGCCACTATCCAAACCGAGTGTGTTGTGTTTATACCGGTGAGTTTGTTAATGTGTTGTCTTTATTAAATCATATGAAAGCACAAATGAAAGCCCTGAGTAATCTGGTCCCCAGCCTAGGGAACTTAATAAATCAATGATTTGGATCATGAGGCTCATGGCAGAAAAATTGTCACTAAGTTTGAGAATTATCATCTTAACCTGTGTTTTGTTTTGCTTGTGCCTGTATTGTTCCTGTGACTTCTGTCTCTAATGCACCAGATAATCACCAAATGAGCCATCTCCATGCTAGTTGAACTCTTTGCTAACAGCTCATTGCAGAAGAGAAGAGCATGAGACATTGTAGAGAGATAGAGTGTTGAGGGGAGGTCATCAAGGAGTCATGACTGCCAGTTGACTTGTGAGCTAGATCCAGGAAATTGGAGGCTCCTCACCCTCTCCTCTATTTTTGGAATGTGCATTCTGCTTGCCTTCCCTGCTCCCAGAAGCTGCCCCAAGGACAACCTTGAGATAGAAATGTGGTGTTGAGACTATCTAAAGGGTATACATGAATGAGCTCAATTAAAACCTCAGTATAAATTAAAAATTTTGTGGGTAGGTACAGAGAATCTACTCTTCTGGTAATTGCCCAAGACAAGCCTGGTAAGTTCTCTTGCTTATTAAACCTGACACCTACCAATCTGGAGTGTTGTGCCTCTTTCTTCAGTCTCTTCCTGCCCTCCAAGTATGGGGCCCACTTTTAGATTACACCTGGGAAGCTCCTAAGGAGACTATGTGAACCAATACACCAACATACACCTGATGTTCAAGGTCCCAATTAATAGTGGCCACTCCCTGATCTCTCTCCCCCGTGTCTTCTAGGTCTCCAACTATATATCTGGTAGTAGCTTCCCTTTGATCTATGACTCTGTTGTTGGAATAATTGATTTATGCATAGCAGTGGCCAACCACTAACCTTACTGTCCAGTAACTTTAGACCTCTGACCTATGTATCTGGTAATTTCTAAAGCTTGTGTCCCTTCTAAAGCTCTTGGCATTGTTATCCTCCAGTAAGTTTAATCAAGCAGAACCAATATTAAGATTGAGATTTTTTGCTAAAAATGTCTTTCCATCTATCACTTATAAAACTTATCTGAAGATAGGTGATAGATCGATCATTTGTTGTTGTTTTTTTCTTTCCTTTTGGAACCAGTTGTTTCAAGATGCTCCTGAAGATTACAATCTCTAACTCAATTTTTGTTTGCATGTCTTCTAACATGTGAGAAAATACTTGCTTTAACTCCTACTAAATGAGTTTTCTCAGGTACTATAAATATGGCTGTTGCTAACATTCATTTGCTGATTATACTGAATTTTTAACGTTTTTAATTAATGAGAGGGCTTGTCCACTGGCTTAAGAATGGCAAATGTAACCTGAGTGATTTTTTGACTTGTTCATAGTTGTATTCAGTCTTATTCATTTCAAAGTTGTGTCAGGTACTATGATGTATTGTTTTCTTTGGATCCTTTTGGATGTGGTCATCCTACTTTTTTTTTTTTTTTCGAACTACTCTGATTAAAGTCACTCTCTAACCCTAATTCTGAGGGTCTCATGGGCATAGGACCAGAAGGGATTAAGTTTCATTCAGTGGTAAGTTCACAGGTTTCCAGTGATGAGGACAGTACTTAGGGTTTATTTTATTTGATCATAGCTCTCAAAGATGGCAGGTAACTAAAGTTGGGTAATCTTGTTGATGAGTCTCCAAGCAGCCATTATGATTAAAAGCATAAAAACTGCTAAACAAACATGGTGGGGGTGGGTGTGAAAGAGCCATCAGTGATTATTGAATAAAATGTATGCATAAATCCCTCAGAATAAATTAATATGTGTTGAAATTCTATCAACTCTTCTGCAACTGAGGAAAATATGTTCAAGTTATTTTCAAAGTAGTATTTTAGAATTAATTGTACCAATTACTGAAGAGTATGCATTCTGGGTGTTTATATAGTGCCCCTGTCACCCAAGGGCATGATTCTGACTTTGGCCCTCAACAGTATGAATTGCTTCTGACAGATCATGGTCTTTTCCGCACACACTGCCCACCCCTCTCCCCCCCGCCCCGCCCCTGCCCTGACCTTGACTAGACAAGCCTGTGCACAGAAATTCTTAACTCTGGTTTGAGGATTAAGTTGCTGTAAATGTGAATGACCACACTTTAGAGTTTGAAGAGGTGGGGGGGTGGGAGGTTGGGGGAACCAGGTGATGGGTATTAGAGAGGGCACGGACTCCATGGAGCACTGGGTGTGGTACAAAAACAATGAATACTGTTATGCTGAAAATAAATAAAAAAAAGAAATAGACTTTGTCAGAGGAGTATATATTATGTACAGAGGGTTATATTTTTTTCAGTGTTTTGTTCTTTAGTATGGGTAAATTTGTCACATGTGTTGGTAAAGAGGATGTCATAAGAGTCTCATCTAGACTTTCTGGCAATGCATTGGTTTTCTATAATCAGTCAAAAAGTGTGTTTTTTGTGTTTTTTGTGTTTTTTTAAGTAACAACTTCCAAAACTCATGAAGACATTAAAATACACTCTCCAATGGTGTGTTTCCATCTATTGTTCATCCATCACAAATATAATCGTAAATTTAGCAAATGTTAAATTCTTCTTTGCTTGGATACAGCCAGGTGGTATATTGGGAGCTTAAAAACAAGGTTTCTCACCAAGAAATCCATTGTATTCCTAAGAAATAAAATATAAGCAAAGCTACAATCAGTTCTTCTATTCTTACTGCTAGAGTGTAAGTAGAGTGATATTGGGGGGCCACCTAGAAAAGTATATAATCTTCATTTTTCAGGCTAAAATGGTGCTATTTAACATTCAAAACCAGTATTGTAACATATTATTTTGCTTTCTGACCATAGTTAAAGGAAAAAATAATCTTTAATAATGGTTTA